ATTTCACTTCTCATAATTTGGACATAGTATCAGGAGGGAAGAATCCCTGGAGAAGGTTATCATGCTTAGCAAAGTAGAGGGTCAGCATAAAAGAGGAAGACCCCCAATGAGATGGATTGGTATAGTGGTGGCATCGATGAGATCATGCATAGCAATGATTGTGAGGTTGGCCCATGACCAGGCAGTGTTTCTACTGTGCACAGGGTCGCTATGAGTCAGTACCGACTTGATGGCACCTAATAACAGCATATATTTAATAATGGATTTACAGTGGGCTTTATTTGGCTCTTCTACCATGTCAGGGTTTTCCAATAAAAACTGTGGAGATGAAATATATATCATCTGCATACTCTATAGCATACTTACCTAGGACTGAGATCAAGCAAGTCTATGGATTTGGTCTTTAATTCTCCACTTTTTTCATATTCCAACATAATTCCTACAAATAAAAAGGAACAAACCTATGTTATAAAACTCTTCTGATGAAAACCCATGCTAAAAGTTTATCTATTTTGACTTTTTTTTTTCTTCATTTATTATTTTTCAATTTGAAAAACTTTCACTGTAAAACATAAATTGTTATATCTGGTTCTGAACGCTGGTCCTCTCCTCTAGATACAAGTAAGCAATCTTGAAATTGTTCAACAAACAACATCAAAGGACCCTGAAAGCTAGATAGATGATGGAATTATCTAACAAGGATTTTTAAAGTGTTATCATCTGTATCTTCTTTAATATGACATTTGTTGTTGTTGTTGAGTGCCTTCAAGTTGACTCCAGCTCATCACAACCAAGGACTGAATGGTGGGTTTGAACCACCAACCTTGTGGTTAACAGTCCAGTGCTGTTCATGATACAACATTAAATCTCAATAAGAAGCTCTGTGGAGAACCAACAACTGCAAAAACTCTTTATTTCCTTAAAATTGAAAAAAAAAAAAAATGTTGCTTGTGTCTAAACTTTTTAACAAAGTACAGAGATTACAGTTTAGAATTTTTAAAAAAAGAACTTTATTTAGATGTTACATGCTGGCATGTTCTATAAAGGACTTAAGGTAAGGTTGAAAGTACACCTACTCCTCAATGGTTCTGAAGACCAGGTCGTTAATGGAAAGCTGGCTTTATGTGGAAATGAAAAATGGCCACATCAGGTCATAACTTGAGAGGATGCTATATCCCTTCATAACTGCATGGTCCATGAAAACCATTGTCCAGCCAAGTTGACACAGAGCCTGAACCATCACAGCCAGTGTCAACTGTGTATTCCACCTTGGAGTTCTTTACTGCCAAACGTATGCACTGATGTACAAAATGAGCAGATAGTGATCAGAAATGCAAACTATACTGACGAGTGAAGGTGTAGCTAAAGATCACACTAGTACACAAGAAACCACTGAATACTTAAAAATTAAAATTAACAACACAGATGTAAGACCTAGCTGTACACTGTTGTTGTTATGTGCCGTAGAGCCGGTTCCGACTCATAGCGACTCTGTGTAGGGTTTCTGAGGCTGTAAATCTTTATGGGAGCAGAAAGCCTCTTCTTTCTTGTGCAGAACAGCTGGTAGTTTCGAACTGCTGACCATGAGATTAGAAGCCCGATTCATAACCACTACGCTTCCAGAGCTCCTTAGCTGTACAATATCCAAACTCATGGCCTTTGAGTCGATTCCAACTCACAGCGACTCTATAGGACAGAGTACAATTGTCTCATAGGGTTTCCAAGGCTGTGTGGAAATCTTTATAGGAGCAGACTGTCACATCTTTCTCCCATAAAGTAGTTGGTGGAATCAAACCTCTAACCTTTAAATTCTAGTCTAGTGCTGTATGCACTGTGCCAGCAGTCTCCTTTTCTCTCTGCAAAGTGCATAAAATCCTCAATGAACTGTTGTTTGTTGTTGTTTTTAAGTACCGTCAAGTTGGTTCCGACTCATAGCAACCCTATATAGGGTTTCCAAAGAATAGCTGGTGGGTTTGAACTGCTGATCACATGTCTCAAACCGACCTTGCAGTCCAGTGCTTTACCCATGACAGATATGCAAAAGAGGAGAGACATATTTCTGGGTGAGAAAAAGTAATGTTGTAAGAGTATCAAGTTAATCGATGGAGTTAATATAATATCTGCCACCCCCTCAAGAAAAGCCCCACTATCCTTGAGTCGATTCTGATCCATATCGACCCTGTATAGGTTTTCTGAGGAGTAGCTGGTGAGCTTCTTAAACCACCAACCTTGCAGTTCAAATGGCTTTGCAGTCTGGTGTATTAACCCACAGTGCCACACAGGACTCCATGAAGAGTGGTTCTGACCAAAATATTAGCATAATAAAATCATCTATACATAGAATTTTTTAATTAAGTGGAGAATGAAAGAATCATGATGAATCAATAAGTTGGATTTTAGAAAACATATTAAACTAAATTTTAAGGGCACACTTCATGCAAAAACATATTGCAGGTTGGTTACCGTATTTTTACACAAAAAAAACATGTACATTACACATTTTGTTTGTGAACTTCATGACCCTCTCTTATGATAGTTTCCTACAAGTGCACAATACATGCATGGGTGTATTGGTGAGTTACATGTGAAAATACAGTATGAATTTTAATATCAAAAACAAAATAAGCAAAAGAATAGATTATAGTTTATAAGTGTCTGCAATTGGCTTTTTAAGAATAACTTATGTAAAACACTAAAGTAATAAAAGAACAATTGATTAGTCTGATATAAATTTTTTAGTTATACACAATAAAAAATAACATAAAGTTAAGGACAGATGATAATCAAGGAAAAAATATACTACAAAGCTTTGTGTATATATGTATCTAAAAGAACTTAATATAAAAAAAATTTTTTAGATATCTTTCAAAAAACAAAAAGGCCATGAGGTCAGTCTTCAGACAAAGTAAGGAGAGGAGACAATGATCAGTAAACACAACAAATAAAAGGTTCTCACATCCATTATGCAAAACCCACCAGATTGGCAAAGATTCCACAGACTGAACACTCAACATTAGCTAGGCTGAAGACATAAGCATTCTTGTATACTAATGGTGGGCATGCTAGGTGATCCTACTTTTGGTGTGATGCCCTTTATGTTTTTTTTGTTTTTAAGTTTTTATTATGAATTGAGTTAAAGTTTACAGGGCAGATCATCAGTTTTACATTCAACAAATCATACACTTTGTTTCATTACAATGATTATAATCCCCTCCATGTACCACCAGATAACAATATTTCTTTCTCTTTATTCATTTTAGCTCTTTTTGCTTGTTTTTTTAAACACTCAGGCATATATAATAATTTAAACCACCAAATGGCACATTCTGCAAGTCTGCTTCCTGGCTGCCAGCTCTCAGTTCCTCTCTTTCCATGAATCCAGAGTCCTCAGCAGCTCCCTCTCTTCATGTCCCCATCTCTGCCTCCATCTCTGGTGTCACTGCTTCTCTGGATAGGGTCCAGAGTTCCGCTTGTGTTCTTCTCGCTTGATGGTCCATAGAGTCCTCTGTTTCTGGACTGTAAGATTAACTACTCCCACATTTTTATTACAAAAATTTCTACCTCTACAATTGTGACAATCACAATTAGTCATAATAACAATTACTCACTATTGAATCATAAGAATCTTATCCCCATCTCTTTTCACCAGACCAGTCTAGACAAGATGAAAACTATTCAGTGGGAACTCTATCTTGCCCTGCACAATCTTAAACTGAACTCCCTCTTGAACACTTGTAAGCCAATCACTTCGTGCCTTTATTGCCACCTCATTTTAGGTAGCCAGTGTCTACATTGTCTATCCCTGTCTACCCTGTATACAGAGGGGATAGCATTGTTACTTGATGTGAAGACTCCTTCCCTCTGTTGGTATTTAGAGTTACTATATCCATGAGTATATGTTAGTTCATTAAATTATAGCAATTTACCCTTGTTTCCTTTATCAAAAATCGTTTCTTCTTTCTTTCCTTTCTTTCTTTCTTTCTTTCTTTCTTTCTTTCTTTCTTTCTTTCTTTCTTTCAGTTCTGAGCATCAAGCCATCAAGGCTACATCAAATATCTGCAAGTTTGTGTGTTCTTGTGCATCTCCCCTCACTTCATATCAGCTGGATGCTTCACTCTCAGTTCTAGCCCTCCATGACTATGTCCTCGTCCATGGGTGAAGCCCTTTATTTTTTGAATGAATAAACTTCAAATGATTCAGCAATTTCACTTCTAAGAATTTATACTGGAAATTGCACAACGATGGAATATCCAAGGTTGTTCATTCCTACACTGGTCATAATAAGTAAATTTGTTACTGTTGTGTGCCACCGAGTCAGTTCCAACTCCTAGCGATCATATAGAGGGTTTCCAAGAGTGGCTGGAGGGTTTGAACTGACAGCCTTGCAGTTAGCACTCTACCGCTTACCCTTATTTAGAAAAGTCTAAATATCTGCCAATAATGGATTGGTACAATAAATCATGATACTTCCTAGGTAATATTCAGCCATTCAAAAAGACACTTTAGATATGGAAAGATACCCGAGGTGGCTTTTTACTTTTTTTTCCAGTTGAAAAAAGGCAAGCAAAAAACAATGTTTATACCTATGCATATATAAGATTGACCCAAAATATAAGTGATTTTGTTCATAAGCAGCTATTAACAGGGGAAAGATCAATCAGGAGAGCTGAAAAGATTGACTTGATTCATTAAATAATACATAGTCTCTTAACAAGCATCTATTATTTTTATAACCAATATTTAAATTCTGAATTAGGATAAAAGTTAACATGAGTGAACACTTCAGTTTCTAAGATACGAAAAAGAGTGACTGGTAATTTTATTTTAATGGGTGTGTGTACAATGAGCAGAAAAAAGACTAGAAACTAGAAGCAAAGGAATTACTAGTGACTTTTATTTTATTCTTTATACCTTGATGTAGTTTCCACAAGTTTTATTGTAAGTAAATGTCACTTTTGTAATGAAAGAAGTAAAAGAGATTTGAAAATTAAAAGGCTGGGAAAAGGAACAAAATGATAAAGATCATCATTATTAGAATGTAGACACTTGAAGCTGAAGATGCCCACAAGACCAGTGGAAATTTCAAGCACACTGCAGCACTCTGAAACGTACGTGTATCAATGCAGTGTCTTAGTACCATGAAGGGCCGCTGCTTTTCCTTGTCTGTATATTAGATGGTTTGCATATAGTACTCCATATGCACTATTTGATGGTGTGTTCAGTAGCCACTCAGTAAACATTTGAGTACATCAATGACAAAAGTAAAAGAAAATGCAATTCTAAAGTCAGTTACCAACCAAAAAAACATCAGGTTTCTGAGACGTAAATCTTTACGGGAGCAGACAGTCTTATCTTTCTCTGGGATGGGTTTGAACCAGTAACTTTGCAGTCAGTTGCTCAATGCTTATCCCACAGCACCACCAGATAAATGATA